GCTTTGATGTTTGAATGTCATTATGCTGTTCATTAGTCAATATTTCTTGGTGAATCTGAAGCACATTGTAGAATTTCCTGAAGATAACTGCATGGAGTTGCCCTCTTCTTCTTTTTTCTTTTTTAAATAAAGTCTTGTCCTTCCACGTGGCTTAATAGTTGTATGACTCACAGTCCTTTTCTCACTGAGCATGCATGTAATCTGCCCTCTGGTTAGCAGCTGTGGTTTCTCCTTGCAGCATCTGTTTTTTGCACCCTTGCTTCTCAAAGTGCCTGTGCTCAAATAGAGCCTCTCATGATTGGTTGCTGCAGATCAGTGAGGTCTGCTTGCTATTGTTTCTTATAATTGTTGGCTTTAAAGCATTTTTTCTAATGTCTATTTTATAGCTCTTTTTCTTGCCATTGTATTTATTAACCATAAATACGATGGAGAGTAGCTTAGAAATTCTGTGACCTGTATGTCTTACTCATTCAACAAGGCATCAGTGTTATAGACTGACTTTTCATTATCTTGTCCTGAATGACAGGACAACAGCCTTCTAGGGAATACTGAATCAGGAAATCACCTGTTTTTGCAGAGAGCATCTGTTGAAAGCACATGCCAGAGCCACAGGGTTGTCATTTCCCATCAGGCTCCAACATCAGAGTCTCTGATACTTCAAAGACACTCTCCATTCTTGCATTGGCAGACAGCTGTGGTGCCTCCTGTTTCCTTGTTGCTTTTGTTTCTAGTCCTGACATTTATTTTAGATGGAAAAATAGATAAGGAAGCATTAATATTTAAGACCATATTAATCAGATTTTAGCTCACATTTGAGTACTATCAGTTACTGAAGAACAGGGAAAATAAATTTTCTTTTTATGTTAGGAGATAACTAAGTTGGATGATTTTATACACTTTCCTAAAGACATGTAATTCTGATGTATCTTTTCCATGTCATAAGAACTGAACATAATAGTTTCCTCACTATATTTTATATCTTTATGAACATTATATATCATTATGTACAAATTGATAATTTTCTCCTCATTTGTTTCCTCCAGGGGTTTTAGATTGTTGCACAGTATTTACTGATTTCCAATAGCTCTGAGATAATGAAGAATAATATTTGAGTGATTTTGACAATGTTTTATAGATAATAATCAGTAGAAGCTAAATACAGCTCAGATCCAGTCTAGTGTTAATCTGCTAAATAACAGTTGCCATCCTTTTTCAGTCTGTAAGAGTTTTGTAAACTCTGAGATATACCTCAAAATGATGCAGCACTGGTCCCATCACAGCAGCGTTGTCAAAAGTACAGTTTCAGTAGAACTAAGTGGGGGTGATTCTTTTTGCATAGTTCCTTTCCCTGAAGTGTTATTATCTAAACAGATAGTATTTGGTGGTAGAACGGAACAATGATTGGAATTGCTTAAGGTTGGTGCGTGATTGGGCTTTTTGACCATCCTGGCACCTCGTGCCAAATTCATAGGGCTTAATGGAATTTTGTTTGAATGAATTGTTAATACATAGACTATGAGTCAAGCCAGGATGCTGCATGAGAAGTAAGGATACTGAGGCTTGAAAAGTGAGGGTCAGGATTTGTCTGCCCCTATCCCAGACTCTAAGTGAAGGGCCACAGAGAGTTTAATACTTAAAATATTTAAGTATTTTACCTTACATATTTTCTGAGACTGCAACTTCTAAGCACTGTTCAATAAGGAGTGTACATGGTATTATTATTGGTAGACAATTTTGCATGGGTCTTAGGTTTTTGCACACCTTGTGAGTGAGTTACGAAGTAACCTTTGTTCAGGACTCTGTTTTGGAAGAATGAAATAGTTTCTCCAGAGCAAAGGAAAATCATGCTTAGTGTCCAGTAAAATAAAGATAATGTATCCCTTTGGACAAAGTACAGACATGCTTACTGTGTATTGTAAAAGATTTGTGTTCCCTCAGCTCAGAGTTTCTGTCCCAGAATGTGATGATGGGCTGGATGTGCAGGCATCCATTGGTAGGTACCCATCTGCGTTGCTCCTGTGAGATTTGTGGTGGGGGGGAGGCAGGGGAACTGATACAAATGTGTTGCTCATGCCACTTGCTCTGCTGTGGGTGATAAATTCCTTGGAGTCTCATGCCTTCTGCCAGCACCCATACAACTGTGTTAGACTAACTTGCGGGCTTACAAGTAGGGTAAAGCCTCAGATCCTTCAGAGTTCTTGACAGGTACCCAGCACAGTGGGTTTGCTGATAAGATGTTACCACCCTTTTGAAGAAACTTGTGTAATGAATTTTCTTTAATTCTTGTTTATTGGATTGGTTGAAAATATTGAAAAAATTAATAAGGGTCCACTCTTTAAGGAGCCAAGAAAACTATGTGTTGGCTCAGACTAAACAGTTCTGACTTGGTAAATTAAGAACAGCTGAGAGCTTTATAATAGTATTCATTATTTTCTTAACTAAAAATTGGGACTTGAAGTAAGATTTATGGTCTGTTTCCTTTTGCAAGAAGCAACCTAGGATATGAATGTGGTTAGGAGACTTAGAATTTCTCTGACCCTGCTTTGTGGTTCCAGTGGAACAAGATATTTTAAATTTAGGACAGGAAGTCACAACAGTGTATTGGAGGAGTGGAAAAGTACACATAGAACATGGGTTTTGAAGTCAGATCTGAGTTTGGAACCCTAGTGCCATCAGTTATTGTTTTTTAACATTGGGCATACCATTTAGTGTGTCTTTTGCTTCATATGTTAATGAGGAATAGTAGCTGCCTCACAAGGTTGTTATGAGGATTAGAAATAATTGTGCAAAACCTTTAGTATTTTAATCTGGCATGTAGGGTGTGTGAATATGTGTGTGTAATTGCTCCAGTTCTACTTAGGTTGTTGTTGGTATGAATTTAGAGTTCTAATTTCAAATTACTTCTTCACTTAGTAATCATGCTTTTTAAAAGATTTTATTTATTTATTTATTTATTTATTTATTTATTTATAGAGAGAGAGGAAGGGAGGAAGAAGGAGAGGGAGAGAAACATCAGTGTGTGGTTGCCTCTCACGCGCCCCCCACTGGAGACCTGGCCCACAACCCAGGCATGTGCCCTGGCTGGGAAGTGAACCAGCAACCCCTTGGTTCACAGGCCAGCACTCAGTCCACTGAGCCACACTAGCCAGGGCCTCACATTTTTTTAAGCAGGAAATTCTATGATGGTATCTTTGTTAATGATGAGGATATATTCGAACAACACACTTCACTGGAAGTTTATCCAGAGGTAAAAATGTGTCAGGTTTTCAAACATTACCTAGGTTGTTTTTTTTTTAAATAAAAGGGACTATACCTGTCTATATTATTAAATATCACTTAAAGAAGACTCATGTATCAATTTAACAATTTGTGGCACAAACTGTACATCCTTTTGTACACTGATAAAGATCTCTAATTAGTATTAATAATATAGTATAATACAGCAATTTTCAGCTGGTGTGCTGCAAGAATTTTTAAAACATGCAATACCTATTTAGTCAGGGGCACTGACCTCTTTTCCCTTAGATTGTCAAATAAAAAAACATCAACAGCCAACACAACAATAGCCATCCAGTGTGAATGAATCAAAATTATACCTATTTTTGTCAGATTGGCAAAAATTATATTTTTTGATGTGCTGCCAAATTTTAGTAATTAGTTCATGTGTGCCATGAGAAATGCCAGCCAACGGACCAGGAATTGCCCTGTGTAGCAGATTGACCCGTCTGTGGCTCATGCGGCTTGCAGCTTGGGAGGCAGCAAACAGATTTCAGTTCTATCTGAGCCCTCTCCTTTTCCTAGCTTCTCTGACCTGTGAAACTCAAGAGTGTTACAGAACATAATTTATATCAGCTTATTTAAAACGATCTATTAATTTCTCTAACAGGCTCCCAGCAGTTTTACAAGGAGCCTTTTGAAGGAAGGCAGGAAACAGTACCCAGCAGTCTCTCTACTGTTGAGTTACTGCCAATACTGCCTGATAGGATTTATGATTAAAATCCAGACAAAAGAAAAATAGTTCAGTATTTATAAAGGTGCTTACTCCCAAGGATACTAATTAAATGAGATCCCCCCATAATGCTTAAGAAAAATAAATACACAGCTATTTAATTTTAAAGAATTTTTGCAGACATGCTCTTATTAATTCTGTTAAGTGTGTTAGTTTCCTGTGGCTGCTGTAACAAATTACCACAAACTTGGTGGTTTAAAATGGCAGAAATTTCTTCTCTTACAGTTCTGGAGAACAGCAGTCTGTAGTGAATCTTATGAGGCTAAAATGAAGATTTCAGCAGAGGCGTAAGCCCTCCATCCCTTGCCTCTCCCAGCTTCTGGTGACTGCTGGCATTCCTCAGCCACATCACTCACATGTCTACCTTCATCTTCACAGGGCCTTCTCCCCAATGTGTCTGTCTAATCTCCTTCTGCCTGCCCTTATAAGGGCAAATGTGATGGTATTTAAGGCCCATCCGGATGATCCAGGATGATCTCATTGCAAGATTCTTAATTACATCTGCAAAAATTTTACCTTATCAACCAACTTTCACAGATTTCAAGAATTAGAACCTGGTATCTATAGAGGCTGCCATTCAGCTCACTACAGGACGAGAGCGAACAAATTTTAATTTCCTTTTTTTTCATGGGAAAGGTGAAGCATCTTTATAACTGTTTTTCTCCAAGTTCTACTTCCCCCCTTAGAAGGCAGGCTTTAAAGTTGTGAAATGAATCTCCCCATAAAGAATAAATTAACAGTTTGTCTTCCCATTTTTATATGGAACCATATTAAATAAAATACCAATTTTGCATGTATTTCTTGAGTATAGTATGTTCAGCATTAGTCATATTATTCTAGTTGCTCAGTGTACATTTTAACGAAATGATTTTTAATGTTATAAAAGCTCCCTTAATTGTATGATACAAGGTAGAAAATTTAAATCAGTTTACATTTTATCCATTATATCTATATAAAAGTTAATTTTCACTTTTTCAACGAAAATATGATGATACTTACTTGGCAGGAAAGATACCATGATCATGAAGCTGGTTCTCCCAGGTCAAGGCTTATCCATTGCGCTCGGGATGTGCTGGCCCCTGCGATTTCCCCAAATGTGGGGAACTTGACCCCACACTATGTGGTAGTGGGGTCACTGTGTTCTCACTTTCTCTTATTTAACAAAAAAGGAAAATTTCAGATGCTGTTAGTGAGAGATAATTCAAGAAATTCAGACACAAAGTGTTTTGTGCTATTGCCCGTCTTTCTTTCCATGGTTGTATTTTTCCTTTGGCTCTGTTATTCTGTTTACCCAGATCTTAGAAAGGATGTTTATGCAGATTAAAAATCTGAAAAACTCTAGAATGAGATTTCCTTAGTCAGAGGCTTTATAATAGTTTGAGTTTTAATTTTGACTTTATTGTACTTTACTTGATTAGACTCAATTAAATTAGAATAGTAATTGTAATTTTAACTGATATTTACTAAATAAATATATTAGTCATATAGAAAATATCTTATGAATATAGATTTAATTAAATTCCCTAAGGGAGCACATAATACTTTTTTTATAATTTAACTAACTTAACACCTATTTTTGGAGAGGAAATAACATAAAGCATCACACAATAATATATGTTATTAAACTAATACCTTGATATTATTTAAATGATTTTTAAAAATCACATTATTAACACTGATATTTTAGCTTTTTTCCTATTACTTCTTTGAATACTTTTGTGTGTTCTCTTGACCATTTTCAGTCTTTTCTGCTTGCTTTTTTTCTCTACTCAGTTTATAAATGTTGGCTTTCCTAACGGCCCATTCTTGAACTCCTTTTCTAACTCGATTACTCTGTTAGGTGATGGCTTTAATTTTTATGATTTTATAGTACTAACCATATTCCCACAACTTTTAGTTTTATATTTCTATCTTAGACCTCACTGCTGATACCCAGAATCATCTAACTGATCATTTTATAACCCTCCATTGGAGCTCTTTCAGATAATCTCAGTGTATAAAAATATAAAAGTGAACCTTGATCCTAATCTCTGCTTCAGAAAACAAAACATTTTTCCCCAACAGAAATAACAACAAAAATCTTGTTCCACCTTCTGTATTAAATAAGATCATTTAGGTGTGTAGGTAAGCATGCTGGGGGCCATTCTTGATTCTTACCTCTTGTTTATCCCACATAGACAATCACTTTCTCAGTTCCTGTAAGTACTGATATCAAAATACAAACAGTCTACTTTTCTTATCCCAATTCTTTCTACCATCATCATCTCTCTAGGACCACTGTATTATTTATGGATATTTAATACAAGATATCATACAGAATAATAAACGGGGCATAATTTTGTTTTTAGGATTTCAGATTAATAGTAAGCAGTAATTTTTTAAAGATTTTATTTATTTTTAGAGAGGGGAGGAGAGGGAGAGAAACATCAATGTGTCTCTCGCATACCCCCTGCTGGGGACCTGGCCTGCAACTAGGCATGTGCCCTGACTGGGAATCGAACAGCAACCCTTCGGTTCGCAGGTCGGTGCTCAATCCACTGAGCCACACCAGCCAGGGCAATAAGCAGTAATTTTTAATTCCCAGGATTCTGAAGTTACAAGAAAAAGAGGCACAACCCTACATGTAAAAAAAAAAAAAAAACCAACTAAATTATAAACTAAAAAAAAGCAATGACAATTTTTCTTTCTTAATACTACTGCTTGATGCTTGGGTGTCTAGAGAAGATAAGCCAGGATATTGAGAAACTTCTATTTTAAGTTCAGATTTTGGTTTCTCGTAATTATGACTGTCCTTTTATATAGTTATTTAGAATCATATAGTGGAAGGAAGAAGAATCCAAATTAATTTTCTTATATAATCATAACTAATATTTTCTTTTGCCAATTTTATAATTTTGCATTAGGTAAATATGTGTATATAATATATATAAAATATATTAATACATGTATATTAATGTTCTGAGTAGGGAACTTACTATGTTGCTAAGCAAATAGGACTATATCCCTCAGAATGAGGAAGTTGAGCATTGGTAGGAGGCGATTCTTATGGGGGCAGATCAGATACTAAATGAGGTATAGTGGGCCAAACTGCAATACAGTGTAGATGTTCTTCATGACAGAGGTAAAGAATAATAATGTTATGCTGTTAACCAAATAAGTATAATTAACTACTGTAAACAAAGTATATTTCCATAATGAGGTCGCTAGCTAGTTTGAGAATTGTTTTGGCAGTGTTTCTCAACAGTGTTTCCACCCCAGTGGACATGTTTTGGCTGCCAGGACTAGAGGGTGTTACTGGCATCTAGTGGGGCGATGTCAGGGATGCTGCTTAGTATCCTACAATGCATAGGACAGCCCCGTTTCACTAATTGTGATACTTTCCAAAATTTTGTTTAACAGATAAACCTTTAATAGAGGTTTAATAGTTATAATGATTTTATTTTTGTGAAAACTTCAATGAATGGAAGTATATTTGAGTGTATTTGGAATACTTTATGAAAGGAAAGAATCAAGGATGAATGACAAATTTCTGGCTCGAGTAGTCACCAAGAAGATGTTGGTGACATTATTTGAGATGAGAGAAACAGATGTGTGGAATAAAATCTTCAGTTCAGATTTTACACCTATAGAATTTGAAGTACCTTAGATATATCATGGGGAAGTCCTGAAGATCAGATCTTAGGTGTTCAGACACATCTTTAAATTGAAATTTGTCAGTATATGAATATAAATTAGCCCTGGGATTGGGTTGTAATCACCCTCCAGAGTGTCTGTGTTTTAGCACAGTCCTTAGGAACACTAACATTCACAATATGGGTAGAGGACAATCTATCAAGAGACTTAGGAGTAGTCAGGGATATAATAGGAAGTGATCCAGAAGTGTAATGTTCAAGCCAAGGGAAGAGAAATATTTTCAGGTGGGTGACTGGTTATTGATATGGAGGCTGCTGCTGACTTTGGTGGGTATGAGAGTGACTAGAAACCAAATTACAGTGGGTTGAGGAATCCATGGTAAGTAAGAAATTTAGTTGTGTTGTAGATTTATGTAAATTTGGCTGTGAAGGCCTTGAAGATCATGGTGAGTAACATTTTTTAATGTATTAAATAGTTGCTTGGACTCAAGTGATTCAGCAAGTATTAAAATAGTTCTGCTTGTTACCACTGATAAAGGTGCATGTTTGACACTCAAACATTACATTTGTTTTTCAGATCTTTCAAGAAATCGTTTTGCAGAAATTCCTTCTGATGTCTGGTTATTTGCACCTCTTGAAACATTAAATTTATATCATAATTGCATCAAAACCATTCCTGAACCCATTAAAAACCTGCAGATGCTAACATACCTTAACATTAGGTAAGGAAGTAATTTTGGGGGTAAATTTTGTTTTTTTTATTGTAGTTCTAGTCCTTTTAGTAGCAAAAGAATGTGTTTGGTTAGGCTATGTAGTCTATATTTATCTCAGTAGTACCTTATTTGTGTTTTTTATATGTCCGCACTACTTTATAGGCCTTTATCTTGTTCTTGAGGGCAGTGCTTCTCATATTAATGTGCAGAGAAATCACCGGGGAATTCAAATAGACTTCTGATTCCCTAGGTCTGCAGGGGGGTCTACATTTCTAACAAGCCCGTTGGTAATGTCCATGCCTACTGGTCCTCAAATCACTTTGAATAGTAGGGCTTCTCATCAGAAATATTCTACTGAAATCACAGCACCACAATACCAATTTATTTGTATGCATGCTCAGCTAAAGTGAAACATTATAAAGAAACAGTCCCTGTGATACTTTTCATACTCTTGTGACTTTCTGTTGCTACTTCAAGCATAGATAGATTGGGATGGGAATGTCAGAACATTTGGAGGTGAATGACAGTTGATGTTAATACCAAATAAATAAGTGCTTACTGTGTGCCAGGTGGTGTTACAAATATTTTATTCATATTACTTCATCTTCACAACAGCATTTTGAGATATGTACTTTTATTATCCCTGAATTACAGATGAGGAAACTGAAGCACAGAGAATTAACTATTTTCCCCATGTTTTATATATCTATATCTGCCTATATTTATAGCTATCTTGGTTTGATTTATAATCAAAATAGTATGGCTGTAGAAATCTCATTCTTAAGCTATATAACATAGTGAACATTTAATAAGAATAAGAAAAAATTGCGCTGTCAAATGAGTGACATTGAATGGAAACTTGTGTATTGTGACAATTTTAGAATCATTTTCTTGTTTTTCTTGCTCCTTTTTTTGATTTATAAGGGATAATTTCTTTCCCCTCCTAAATGAAGTTACTTGTTTAAATTCCAATATAGGGAAGTAGTAGTAAATATAGTTAATATACATAAATAATAATGCTCCTTGCTCACTGTGATATATTAATTATTACATATGTCTCTATCAGTGGTGTCACCTGGCAATAAATGTTATTTTAACTGAAACCGCTTTATACCTTAAAATATGTGGGAGGAATTTCCTTCCATAGATGTCAGTCATTTGGGTTGCTCCTTTCTTTAATTGGTACTTATTTCCTTGGCCTAGCTTGGGAGAGGTTTGAGGAAAGTGAGGTATTTTTAAGTTTGTCTTTGTTTCATTTTGGTCTTTTATGGAAAACATTGATTTGTCCAAAATTAAATTATATTTCTATATTAACACGTATGGTATATCTTAGAATACAGGCATACCTCAGAGATATTGTGGGTTCAGTTCCAGACCACCATAATAAAGTAGATATCACAATAAATTGAGTCATAATTTTTTGGCTGGTGGAGGGTCTTGCCTTCATTTGTAGAAAATGCAGCAGCTGTGAAGTGCATTAACGCAAAGCACAATCAAATGAGGCGTGCCTGTAGTTTTATTAAAACTTTCTCTGATTCTTTTTTGCTTTGATCTTTAACAGTTAACTTCTGATTTTTGTTTACTGTCAGAAAAATTTTGAACAAACTCTTGAAGTAACATTTGTTTTAGTGACTGACTTCCTTTGGCCATCTCTAAAACATGTGGCAAAAAAGTAAAGGTTAATGACTTACTAGCTATGTATAAAGAAACCAATTTTTGGAGAAAGCTTACTGTGCTAATTCAATGAATCTGATTCTTAAGGGAAGTAAATAAGTCAATTTTTAAACATTTTTGGTCTGAGGGAGATTAGA